ATGGGAAGAGGGGGGCTGCTCCTGCCTGAACCCTCTGTTCCCCCTCCCTGCCTCTGATACCGAGGCAGCAGTGTGGGGCTGGCAGTGGGTAACTTTTATTAATAATCTATGGAGCGATACCTAGTTCACAGAGCTGGAAGGGACCTTGGGAGGTCATTGAGTCCAGTCCCCTGCCCTCACAGCAGGCCCAGGTACCATCCCTGACAGAGTTGCCCCAAATGGTTCCCCTCAAGGATTGAACTTGCAACCCTGGGGTTAGCAGGCTAATGCTGAAACCACTGAGTTATCCCCGATGCATTGAAGAGGGCAGGCTCAGGGCTAGGGCAGAGAAGGGGGCGGTGAAGAGCTGGGGGGGGCAGAGGCACCTCTCACCTCCAGGACTTAGGGGCAGAAAACTCTTCTTGCCACCGCCCAAAGCCCCAGTGTGGGGCTGAAGAGGTCTCTGGGCAGCCCTGCAGTTGAGAGGGAACTTAGCCCCTCTGCCCTCTTCTCAGTGGCGCTTGAAAGACTCGCGAGTTTATTCAGGCATAAGCGCTTCTGGGGTGCAAGTCACTTCCTCAGATACCCGAAAGGACCGGAAGCGAAAAGGGAGGGGGACAGAGATGGGCGCGCCGCATCTGCAACCAGAAAGAGGGAGGGGGCGGGGCTGTTACTAGACATGTTCTGTGTTCCCCAACCTGCCTGGGATGTTTCCGTTGGAGGCAAGTCTTCTGATGTGACCGCCTGGGGATTGCCCCGTCTCTGTTTGCTTTGTTCTGTTGCATGCGATTTCTACTGTTCTGTGCTGCTCTCAGGCTGTGTGCATGCCTCAGTTTCCCTGGGCACTGCACCCATGCCCGGCTGGGATGGGAGTGATGGGTGTGACTCGCACTGAGAGGAGGCTGCTCCAGGCCCCAGGGAGGCAACTAAACCATGGCTCAGGCTCTCTTATAACCTGAGGCCATCATGTGGTTGGATTTATTTTAGTTCTGAGGGAAACCAGGACACTCCAGAGAGACTTAACCTCTTTCTTATTTATTGCATGCTTTAAGCGGTTAATATAGTTGTTTAAATTTTACAAGCCTTAAAAACAATGACTAGACAATTTAAACCTTAAATACTATACATTCTCAAACAATTAGTACAGCACAAAACAATACAGTAGCAATTAATAGAAGATTTATTATATTAGAATAATTAAGCCTAGGTCACTTACACTTCACCCATATGCCACCAAAGGAGGTTTGGGATTCCTTTGACTCCCACACGTTGGAATTCCATGAGTCATTTGAGATTAAACTACTCAAGAGAGAGACCTTGGAGTCATTGTGGATAGTTCTTTGAAAACATCCGCTAGATGTGCAGTGGCAGTCAAAAAAGCATACAGGGTGTTAGGAATAATTAAAAAAGGCATAGAGAATAAGACAGAAAATATCTTATTGCCTCTATGTAAAACCATGGTACGCCCACATCTTGAATACTGCGTGCAGATGTGGTTGCCTCATCTCAAAAAAGATAATATAGGCATTGGAAAAGGATCAAGAAAAGGGCAACAAAAATGATTAGGAGTTTGAAACAGGCCCCGTATAAAGAGAGATTAAAAAGACTTGGACTTTTCAGCTTAGAAAATCGGAGACTAAGGGGGGTTATGATAGAGATCTATAAAATCATGAGTAGGGTGGGAAAAGTGGATAAGGAAAAGTCAATTACTTATTCCCACAATATTAGAACTAGGGGTCACCAAATGAAATGAATAAGCAGCAGGTTTAAAACAAACAAAAAGAAGTTTTTTTCTACACTCAGCGCACAGTCAACCTGTGGAACTCCTTGCTAAAGGATGTAGGACTTTAACGGGGTTCAAAAAAGAGCTAGATAGATTCATGGAGGTTAGCTCAATCAATGGCTATTAGCCAGGATGGGTAGGAATGGTGTCCCTAGCCTCTGTTTGTCTGGAAATGGGTGACAGGAGAAGGATCACGTGAGGATTACCTGTTGTGTTCTCTCCCTCTGGGGCACCTGGCATTGGCCGCTGTTGGCAGACAGGATGCTGGGCTAGATGGACCTTTGGTCTGACGGTTCTTAGCCAATGTGAAGGGTCTGTTTGCTTCTAGTTATGAGTAGGACCTGAGGGTCAATCTTGCTCACTACCTCCCATCGATTCTTCTTTCTAATCCCATTTCATAGCAAAGCGAGTCTTGGTTGTTCTAATAATATTTACCAATTGATTATGTATTGTGTAAGGTACCTAAAATGCCCAATGCCCTTATTTGGGGTACATCCTGTTACTCAGGATGTTGCAAAACTATGTCTGTGGTTAACAGTTTTATGGCTTCAGGGGGTAGCCGAGTTTATCCTGTAGAGACTAACTTAAAAAACAACAGATAGTCTGGTAGCACTTTATAGACTAACAAAACATGCAGATGGTATCATGAGCACAGCTCACTTCTTCAAATGACTGGAGTTTTGAGTTTATAATGTCCAGACCCAAAATAAATAGGGGGGAAGGAAAAAAAATGAAAGGTGGCGGGAAACAAGAAGCAGAGGGTATGTAAATCTCAAAGGGAAAATCAGACAGGCAAAACTGGTAATCTATAAGCACCTAAAAATGTGATACTGTATATTCCGGCGTACAAGACGACTTTTGATGTTAAAAAACATCCCCCAAAAATCGGGGGTCATCTTGTACGCTGGGTATACATCCCAGGCGCGCCTGGGCTGCCCCCCCGCCGGCTTCCCCCGAGGCTTTGCAAAGCTGCTGCGGCTTTGCTCCCAGTGCCTCTGGTCTGCTGGGGACCGTCTCCAGCAGACCAGGGACACCGGGAGCAAAGGAGGCGGAGGGGCGCTGGGGTATAAGATGAAACCCTATCTTTTAATTAAAAAATGAGGGGGTCGTCTTATACGCCCAGTCGCCCTATACGCTGGAAAATACGGTAGTTAAAAGAAGCAGATAAGGATCATAGGATAGCAGTTAGAGAAGAAGGGCAAAAATCTACACAAAGAGCTATTGGCACAACAAGGGTTTGTCTGTGTAGATTTTTGTGTGAGTGCTCTTCCTCTCTAGTTGCTATCCTATGATCGTTATCTGCTTCTTTTAATGATCCAATCTTTAGGTGCTTATAGATTACCAGTTTTGCCTGTCTGATTTTCCCTTTGAGATTTACATACCCTCTGCTTCTTGTTTCCTGCCACCTTTCATTTTTTTTTCCTTCCCCCCTATTTATTTTGGGTCTGGACATTATAAACTCAAAACTCCAGTCATTTGAAGAAGTGAGCTGTGCTCATGATACCATCTGCATGCTTTGCCACACACCTCTGAGACCGGCCCCGGGGGCGCTTTGCGCAGGGGCTGGAACCAGCCCCGGGATCTGCCGGCATCAGCGCCGGAGCCTACAGCTGATGGAGAGACCTGGGGAAAGAGCTGGGGCCGGGCAGGAGAGTGACACTGCGCAAAGGGGCCTTTCAGGGACTGGCGGACCATCCCTGCTGACCACCGGCTGATGTGCCCAGTGAGAGCCAAGGCTCATGTCCATGGGACACTCACCATGGCTCCCCTGGAGAGGGAGGATGATGAAAAGGGGCAGGGGAGGGGCTGGAAGGGGCAGCAGGAGCAACAACCCAGGAGGGAAGCTCCCGGCTCCCAGCCCTGCCCAGCTCCATCCCTGCAGCCCCTGGGCAGCCTGACTCTGCGGGGACCCCGGGAGGAGCTGAGAGAGGAAAAGCCACTTGCTGCCTCTGCAGAAGCATCACCCTGCCTGAGTGTGGGAGGGGGCACTACATGCAGAGACACAACACTGCGGGGGGGGGGCCCACAACCCAAAATGGCTCCTTTGATTTGGCTCTTTCCCCAGCGCGGGGCTCAGAGATGCTGCTGTGGGGGGTTCAAAGGGGCTCGGTGGGTTTTGTTCTGGCGGGAGGGGCGGGGAAGGGAGGCAGGAGCCCTCACTGGGTTTTTTCCCACAGGGCAGGGCCCGAGAGTGCCAAC